TTTTTCGATTCCCCAAGGATCCGAGACGATATGAGGAATGGATGAAACGAGGTAAAGTGCCAGATGGATTGCCGGAATCACATATGCTCATGTGTTCCGACCATTTCGATAATAAGTATATAATAAAAAATGCACGTCGAACGATTCTAGCAACCACAGCGGTACCATTTTTTTATTGTGGAGATAATAGTGACATAGATAGTGACGATAATATTGATAAGGAATGTGAAGAAGCGATGGATAAAGTAGATGAAGCATTGGATGCAGAAATGGTATTTTCCATACAAGACTTAAATGATGAATCGGCGGTCATTAGACTGAAGGAGAGTGAACGCGTAGATGTCGTTGAATATGGAATGCTAGATTATGAAAAAGTGGACAATCAAAGCGACACGGAATATTGTGTTGAATCGACCACCATGAAAGAAGCAGACGAGCACATAGCAGATATGTTGGAAGATTATGAAGTTGCCAGCGATTTTGAGGAAGATCTATTGTCTGGTAAAAAAGGTCGAAGAAAACGTTCGTGAATATGATAAACAAATATATATTTCTATTACAGAAGTAGTGACTCAATCAGAGCCGAGAGAAGATGCTGTTAAAGGTTACAAACCAAATGTTAAAAAACGCAAAATAAATTCGGACATAGAGGACAACCAGGAGCCTACCAGCTCCAAAGCTCTAGTGTCGAAAATAATGGCTCAAGTTGAAAAAAGTGACAACAGTGCCGCAGTATTGAAACGAAGCGGAAAGCAGGAAGACGGGGAACACATTAAACACTTGCGACTGCAAACCAAAAAGCCAAGCACTCCACAACCCGAAGCTCAGAAAATTGACCCGGACACATTGGTGGACTCAAAAGCAGTTACGTTTTGAGTTTTAAATAGGGGTTAATTTCTTTCGAAGTAGGGTTTTTAAGAGATAATTAACGTAACATGTTTTTAAAAAAACGCATTTCCGTGAAGTCATCAGTCGTTTCGCATTAATGAGATAACTAAATAAAAACATTTAATTTTTTTTTAATAAGAATTATGGAAACTACTTTATTACAAAATTGGACAAAAGTAAATATTGGATATT